ACATCATCGTTCAAGTCGACCGTTACACTTGGCATACCGATATTTCTACGGGCTTGTCGCGCAGTCCTAGCCATATGGCCTGTCGCCCGATCAACTCCCCATAATTCTTCCATCAAGTCATAGTACCTAATGGAAGACACTCTCCATTTAGCTGCAGCTGGCTTCGCCTGCAAATAAAAACCATCATTATCACCTATAATTACTATGTTTCACTAATTCAATAAATCCCGAATGTTAAAACATTACCTGCAGCAGGTCATCCCATACTTCAGGCTCAGCTATAAACCGTTTCGTGGACTCATCCCACGCAAATCCACTAAGTCCACTAAACAAGTCGTGAACCTCCCGCCATCTATCCTTCATGCTTTTTTGTCTATTTTTAACATTATTTTTCGTGATACCCGTTAATCCAGTCTGTCGGAGGGCTTTAACAATATTATTGTATGCTTGGGTTGTCCAACTACCATCAACCCGATTGCCCAACCTAGCCTCGTCAAGCATGACAGTTAATAAACGAAAGTCCATGTCATCAGTCCATTTGGTGAACTCGCGGACCGTAGTCGAGGAATCAGGTAGAACAGTTTTTCCGCTGTTCATTTTCTACCTATTACAAAAACAAGGCACACAATGATGATAATCATATGTAAAATTTATGAATGAAAACTTCTAACAGAATATTTTATTACAATTACAACATTACATCTTATTAAATACATTATTAAATACATGATCTAATTATTAGTATAATTTGTCCACATTTCATATGCGATAGCATTTCAAGATCAAGCTTTTAACATTGGCATTCTCCGTTTTCCATCGTCGATATGTAGAATCTGTTACAGTAGGTTTTTGTACATCTCCATTTATGTATCCCAGTTTGTCCTTCCCGGAGAGGTGAAGTTCAACCACCTGAGACCATAGACCATAATTGGATCCATCAAGTTTTATATTAATTGTATTGTTGCCTGACTCTTGTGAACTGATTTGCGGAGCAAACTGGTTCTGTGCCAGGACTTTAGCCATGGTAGCGGCTAGAGACTGCACGAGGTCCTCTAAGATGTTAGAGGATGCCTGAAGTTCATTCCTCGTGCTCTCATCTGCCATTTGAGCTTTTGATCTTCAGAACCCAGCCCTAAGATAAACGACTCTGATACCATGCCAATTCTGGGAAAACAAACCCCGTACATATTCTCATTAATTCAAGTTACTTATATACACGTGGTTGTATTATCTAATACAACCGAATCAGTCACAAAAATCGGAAAAGATTACAATCAGAAATTAATTTAGAGAATCAAGAAGTAACTAACTCCTAAGATCACGTAATTGACAGCTAAGCTAACAAATTCTAGTTATAAGTTAAAGTTAGTGTCAGCTTAATAATTAAGCAAGCTAGAATTGTTGGTGCTGAAGAATTTAGCAGCCTTTACATTCTACAGCTTTATGCTCTTATTGTCAAAAATATTCAGCGCGTAGTAACTAAGCTAAGCAACTTAGTGGCTAATAAGAAAACAAAAATAAACTGTTACGAAACATGACCATGATAAAAATAAAAAATAAAAAGAAGGAATCTAACCATGTGGTCATGTATGTTATAAAGGACCAAGTTTCCATTCGAACTTGTGTTTAACCCACCTATCCTCTTCTCTTCTGATTTGAAGCATTGCTCTATCGATCCTCTTATCCATGACATCCTGCGTAAGTCTAAAGCTAAGGCTAAGGCTTCCACCTGCTAGAAAGGCATGGAAAAGTCTCTCTTCTACCATTAGTAAACTTCACAAGTCCAAATCCAAAGCCATGAAAAAGTCCAGAAAGTATTCAAAGCCTACCACCAAACCTGCCACTAAGGCCCCTCCTAATAAGTTCCTTGTTGCCAAACGTTTTCGCCACAAAAGGTTAGACACGGTCAGAAGTTTCATCAACAGCTTTCACAAGAAACCTGCGCCTGTGTATATTGATAAGCTCTTTAGAGAGGCTTCATGTGACTTGGTGGGGAATTTGAAGCCACAAAGAGAAATAGCACAAAAACCACCGACTGCAAAGCTGTGTGGAGAAACAAAGGGAGGTGGATCTTGCTCTTCAGATGATATGTGGGAGTCACTGGCGTTAGCCTCACCTCAGATGCATGGAATAGATGAACGAGCAGAGGAGTTCATCACTAGATTCAGACAAGAGATGGCGGCACAAGAGATGTTAGCAAGAAATTTGTAGCTATGTTAGCGAGAAATCTGTAGCTAAACTATCGGAATATTAAGTGATCAAGGACTACATGATTTCTATATGCCATGTAATGAAGTGTTATTATTTTCTTTTCATAGATTAAAAAACTTAAAATACATCTCATGCAGTAATTAACCAAGACTACAAACATTTGACGTTTTAAAATTTAATCTACCTAATAATTTCTCCTAAATTATCGGTTTCTGGGTTTATCTGGCATAGTTGCAAAAGACTAGATAGGATTTCTGTAAAGTTGTAGTGTAATACCCACCAAAGACTTCCTAGACTACTGTTGACGACCAGTTTGTGTGGATATTCTATCAAGGAGTTGTTATTTTGATTGATTTAGTACTCCAAATATAGAATAATAATTCTATTTATATTAACTTCTTTTTGTAAAAAGATTCGAGGATTGCTAAGTTATTTCAGTTCATTCTTAATCGAAGGATGTTCATTGTTAGCAAGATTCTTTTGGACCCTAAGAACACACACAAAAACAGACACATATATATATAATTTGGCTCATGAGAACATAATTATTCATATTTTTTATTTACATCTTAATTCTTGAGTCACTTTCTTGGGGGTGTAGAACTTTCGATTTTAGTCTTCCACTCAAGTCCTGCCAACACTTTCCAAACATGGATCAAGGTGTAGCTATCACTTGGGAAGTTGGACCGATATATTGTTGTCCGCATTGTTTTCCTTTTGTTTAGCAAGAAGGATTAGAAATAAACAAAACAAAAAATTTTGACAGAAAATCACTTGAAAATTCTCCTTTTATTTTATGCTTTTCCCGCAAAAGTTTGGTGACTCATACATGAGGATAGATACACATAGACTCACGTTATTTTACACACGTATATATATAAGGAAAGGCAGGCTAAGCCTTTGATTTATTTGATTATTGATCCGCGCACTATTGGCAAAAAGACAGTAGTGGGGTAGCACAGCAGATGCAAAAAGATGAAGCATAGCTCTAAGCCACATATCTCATTTGAGAGTGACGAGGAGGTGGAACGAGAAAGTTGAAAGGGTTGTTGTTCTTGATCTGCCTGGCCTGTTCGCTATGGAGGTTGAAAGTGTGTTGAATGACTTCCTCAGGCAATGCGTTTAACAAAGAGTTTCTACCTGCAAGTGTGCCAGTCACAGGTATATCATGGGTCTTGAATGCCACGTACTTGAAGTTGTTGCTCTGCGATTTTGCAGCCACCGCAAAGTTTTGCGGCACGATCAGCACTTGTCCCTCTTGCAGCTCCCCATCAAACACTCTATCACCAGTGCAATTCACCACTTGCATCATCGCGCTCCCTTCCAATGCGTATACTATGCTGTTTGCGTTCAGGTTGTAGTGTGGCACGAACATGGCATTCTGCACGCACGCATTGCATTGCATGTTAAGATCGCTATGCATACATAAACTTAATTTGTCACACACTCACATTTTATTATTTGTTCAATACCTTGCGGAGAGATCCGAACTGAGCACTGAGTTTGAGGAGCAAGAGGGCTGGGAAGTCGAGGCCGGTGGCCCTTGTAATGCTACCAGCTTGAGGGTTGAAGAAGTCAGGCGATGGAGTTTGACCAATGTTGTGGCGAAGTCTCATTGTGCAAATGGTTTCATCAATGCCATTTCTGCTCTTGCTTTTGCACTTCTGTGGCTTCTCTTCCTCTTCATCGTCGTCATCTTCTTCCTCTTCCTCTGCTCTCTGTTGCTGCTTTCTCGTTGGTGGAGCTGTCACGCTCAGACCTCCCTCCACTTTCACAATGGCTCCTTTCTCTTCGTCCTCGTTCACACCTTGGAGGTTTTTCACTATCTTCCTGTCCACGTTCAACGCTTGTTCCAAGAATTCTGGGGTGAAGCCACTGAATATGTTGCCGCCTTCATTATCTTCTTCTTGTTCTTGATGTTGTTTTCCCTTCTGGCTTTGGCTTTGCTGATATTGTACGAACTCTTGCTCTTGGTTCCCAGCAAGATAGAATCTCTGGCATGTATAATATGTTAGTATTAATTAGGATTAGCAGTTGAAGAATAATATATATATATGCATGTATATATAAGATATGCGAAAAATACCCTAGGCATCTGATCGAGCTGGTTCTGTAAGCTGTTGGTGTGAATAAGAGAAACTGCAACAACGGGAGTGTCTTGATTGTTGAACATCCAGAAAGCAGCACCGGTAGGCACTGCGATCAAATCACCCTCTCTAAAGTGATACACCTTTTGGTGACGGTCTTGAGGCTTCTGGCTTTGTCCTCTTTGAGTTGGCTCTTCAAAAGTCTGAGGACAACCGGAGAAAATGATGCCAAAAATACCACTACCTACACAGAAAACATTATAATATGATTCCACAATGACATGTCATGATTCATGAAGGAAGGAACTAGGATGGTTTACCTTGTTGAATGAAGATTTGCTGGGGAGCGTTGGTGAAGAATGGTCTGCGGAGGCCATTGCGTTGGAGGGTGCAGCGAGAGAGGGCAACACCGGCACACTGGAAAGGCTTGCTGTTAGGGTTCCATGTCTCTATGAACCCACCTTCCGACTCTATACGGTTATCGGGTTTGAGGGCATTCATGCGTTGGAGTTGGCACTCATATTCATTTTGCTGTGGCTGCTGTGTCTTATCTTTGCTAGCGAAGCACCCACTCAAAAGCACAAGACAATGGGAAAGAGATAGCGCAAGAAGCTTAGCCATGGATATGAATATGATTGATTTGTTTGTGGTGTGAAGCGGAGAACCTGAGTTGTTGTGATTTATAGGTAAGAGAGGAAGGTGAAGGAGGGACACGTCACAGATGTGGAGTGCTGAGGATGAGACATTCTTCACCATGCATGCCTATGGAACCCTTGTGTGTTACACGTACACACCTCACCTCAGCTGGATTCCGCATCTCTGTTACGTGACAAACACCAAACTTGTTTCTATTGCAAATGGCAACACAAACCACTGCTGGGAGGGGACCAGACCTTGCATGGTTTCATTTCGGTGCATGCGCCTGTTTGTTTTTAGCATACGAGTACATCTTTGAGAATTGAAGGGATAAGATCTTGAGAATGAGAACTGAATAAGACCTGGCCAAAGTGACCTCCCTAGCTATCTTCTGCTGCCTCGGACTCGTAGTAACTATCGTGTTATAAGAATAACTAAGCTACAAAATAATGTTATGATAAGTTTTAAATGCACTAATAATTATCTTTCTTTATTTATAGAAAATAAGTTTTGTATTGGATGGTTTTTAACATAGAAGATTTATTATAAGTTTAATTTTATAAAATTATTTTTTTTTTCATCTATTTTATTATGAAAATTTAAAACTATAAAAAGGAAGAGAATGAAGAGTTTATTGTGTGAAATAACTTATTTATATATATAAATAATTATAAATATCGTAATAGTATTAAAGTGAAATAAAACCATACAAATATACTATAATTACATTCATTAGATGTAAATTAGGTCTTTCACAACCAAACTAATTAAGTATATATAAAAAGTATTTAAGCTATAACGACAATTATTATGGGGTGGAGAGATTACTCTTGAGGGTGGTCAACTCATTTGCTTTGGAGTTTGTTTCTTTGATCAAGTTGGTTTTCCAAATTGACAATTGATAATTGTCAAATATGTATATAATTTTTATTCAATTTAGACAATTATTAAATATATCTTATGCTTAAAAATTTTGTTTATGGTTTTAAAATACTTAGATATTTTTTAGAATATATTTGTTTAATATTAAGTATTTCTTTTTTGTTGAGATATGATATAGGAAAAATGTAACTTGAAAGCTACAAGATCTCATTAGAATCACTTCAAGACCAATTGGGTGAACTCTACGCAAGTCAAATTCGTTCAAAGCAACTAATAACTCACTTTAAGCGAGGTAAGTCAGAAACTAAACCTAGGAGATGGAGCTAGTTCGCTTAACTAAATAAAGTGCTCGCTCAAAGCGACTAAAATCTTGTTTTGAGCAAGTCAAGACAAAGACTCCCCCGAAAGAAGATGTTAGCTCACTTAAATGAGTGAAGTACTCGTTTTGAGCGACCTGAAATTCACTTTTAAAGCAACCATGATGGGTACTCTAAGCAAGTCAAGTCAGAAGTCATCTATGGAATGATCAAACAAGCTTGCTTAAACAAGCCACATGAACGCTTTGAACCATAAACCCTAAACCATACACGAATAAAAGCTCATTTAAAATATTATAAATTAGGATTTTCAAAAATTCTTGTATCTAAGTTTGTATGAACATAATTTTAGAGAGGGTTTTGTGATAGAGCATTTTTGTAGTCATGGATCACTCAATGATCATTTCTTTATTGTATAATTCTTAGTTATGAGTAGTTAAATCTCTACTGTTAGAGATTGAAACAACTATATATAGTACTCATGTAATTCTACGTGTTTTCATTTAATAAAATGTCTTTATTTAGTTAATCATTTTACTTTGTGCTTAATGTGGCCTAATTAACTTATCCATGACTTTATAATTTTAACTGAGGTTGGAAAACTCTTCCAGAACTATAATCTAGGTAAAATACTAATAACATTTATTACTAAGAATAAAACAAGATTTATTAACCAATTTTTAGTTCTTGACCTTAATGTAGGTTGTTTGAAAAAAATTTCCAATAAATTGATATTTTCTTTAAATAATTTATAATTTCTCGTATAAGAAATTAAGGGTTTAAATATAACTATAGGCTATTAAATTAGCTATATAATTTCTAACATTAAAAGTAAATTTCAGCAAATTTACATGAAAAATGTTAGTGAAATCAATCTTTAACTATTCTCATTATAAATTCAAAATTTTCATTAATTTATTGCATATTTTTACTTTTATAATTTTAAAATTCTTATATTTTACGTTAAATAATTCTTAATTTTTGTTAGTTTCTCTATTCATTATTAAAATTTAGTTAAATAATTATAACTTAACTCTTTATAGATTTGATAACCTAAATTGAAATACTTATCAAATACATCATAGCACTCAAGGTGAGCAAGGGAAAAGAAGATCATACATATGACCTCTGCCCCCAAAGTTAATTTGGTTAATCATGTATACAAGAGTATAATGTTAAATATCTCAAACACTTGAATGAGATCACACATCTCTTTCTAAGAGTAAATTTGTGTTTCAAACACCTTAATTTGGTGGAAATGAGATATTTTGAATGTGTCATGATACAAGGTAATTTTTAATAATATTTATATATTATTTGTTAAAATACTAAAATTAAATTTAAAAAAAATGATAAAAGTTTTATAAAAAAAATCTCTACTTTCGTTGAAGATTTTTTTAGAATGTTCTTATTAAATTAATAACAACTCTCCTATAAATAACCTCAACAATATATATATATATATATATATATATATATAT